TTTGGCAGTAAAGACTAGCTAAATAAATAAAATAAATTTTAATACAGTAGGTCTTTTCACATGGTATTTAGTCTGTTACATACGCTAGACATATAAAAGGGAGGACATCCTGCTGTGCTCACTTCTGCCAGCCCACCACAGCTAGCAGTGACTATGTTGATACAGCAGCAGTGACAAAATCCCCATCTTATATGCAATACAAGGCCAATAACTGGAGGGATTTCTTTCTTAACCGTTTATCAACCATCTTGAGCTTCTTCAAAGTAAGCAGCAACCTGTTTGTTTGCTTGCTCCTTTCTGTCGTTGTTAAACAAAGCAAAGGTTGTTTGCTTGTTTTAAACACGTTTTTACAAGTCTGTTAAGAAACCTGGCGGAGAGTAGGGGGTGGAGGGATAACAGTGCCTGAAAGTGGCATCAACAGGTTGTGAGCTGTGGTGCCAAAGAAGTCGGGGCCCCCTTTATCCCCAGAAGGTGCAGAAGTGCCCATTTCTCTACTTTGTACAGTGCTCTACTTCGTACCCCCACTTAACAGGTACAGGGACGATGCAGTGAAAACACACTGCCCAAACGAACGGCTGTCACTAGGGCTTCCTAATGGTCTGGCTTGTCCTATCTCACCTACTTCTGAAAATCTCTGGTGAGGCTGAGGTTAGGTGCTTACCGAAGTATAGAAGAAAACAGCTAGAAAGAATCCAAAAGTAATTACACTTAAGTAGTTCACCTACAGAGAGTCTATATTCTGAAGTTATTTTGTAAACAATGTGTTTCTTTCAATCAGAAAAATGGACAGAAAGAAGGAAAGAAAGAAGTTGCATCACCCCAACATGTACATTATGAAAAGACTAGAAAGGAGATCTGTTGTATCACATACCTGTTATGAGACAAGAAAATAAATTTTCCCTAAACTACTATGTAATTTTGTCTTCGCTAGAAAAGAAAACAGAATCTTTTCTGAAGAGTGAAAACAGATTAAAGCATATGCACTTGCTCCAGTGTACGGTTTACTTCTGGACATCACCATTGTCTAATTTTGCCACTGATTTTTGCGGTCATAGAGTCAAATGTTCTCTCCAGTAATAAAGCTCACAACACTGCCACAAAGTGAGCATAAAAGAGAAGAATTATCTGTGTATCTTTTCGTTGAAGTTTTCTTCTAGAAACATGCATGTATCTCATACTTTTCATTTTCCAGTCTTTCCTAATGTGGACTCCACACGGAGAGCTATATAAGCCAAGTGCATAATTCTAAGCACATGAAACGTCTCCCCACATATAACTGCTTTGCTTATTCATAGCACAAATATCCAAATAATATTTTTCAAATTTGGCCTTAGAAGAACTTGTTAATGAGAACTATTTACATAACAAGGTTCAAAGCTATGGGCTTTTGAGCTACCTGAAAAATAAAATGCTGCAAATTTTTGAAACTCTTAAAACAGCTGGGAAAATTTTGACCAAAGTGTAAAAGAAAATACTGAAAACCCACAAAATACAACATATCTTTGACAGAGCTGAAGGCATGAAAAAAATCAGATCTAAAAGTGATGAGTGATGATCACTGAAATCTTGTTCAAAATTCAGTGCAGTACTGACTACCATGTAAGCCGAGGACATATGAAGACCATACTTAAAACCCTCTGTGAAGAACTGTATGAATGTTAATAATCCTGTTCTCTATGATTTCTTTTCCTGTGATTTAAATTTCTTGATGTGGTATGCAGACCACAAATACAACATAGATGCACAATTATCCTTAAATGAAGTCTCAAGACCAATGAAAAGGGAAGAATTATCAGAATGACTATTTAAGCCTTCTTATTATTGCAAACATATACTCAAAGACAAAATAAACATAAGCCATCAGTATTAAAGGCATGACTTTATTAGGAAGGTTGTATGGCAATACACAAATTCCTCTAAAAATGGATCTAGTTACAGTAAACCAAAATCCTAATCTAAATCTGTTTAACTAAATTCTAGCCATGGCTAGATTTTAGTTTTCAGTTCAGCCATAAGATTGAATTATCACGGTTTAATAAATTGTTGCATGTCAGCTGAACCACAGTACCTAAATGCATGTGCATTTATCAGCCACTGTAAACCTGAGATAAAATGTGGATGATTGAAGTTCTGTGAAAGAGGTTTCTGCTCAAACATTTTTACCTCACATTTGTTGTGGTAAGTGGATATAGCCAATTACCATGGCTCAGCAAACATACAAAACCAGATCATATTCAGAGCCTTTATTCAGTGAATTACTGGTCTAGTTTAACTTAGATAAAGCATACTTTAAACAGGTTTAAACAAGTCTACATTAGGGGCTTGTAGAAGCATACATTTAATTAGTACATACATTTGTATATATAGATGTATATCTATATATTTTGTGCACACATATATATATGTGTGTGTGTATGCATATTCTGTGACCGCACACATATATATATATGTATGGAAGTGCATATATGTCAATATGTGTGTGTTTGGTCCACCTCAAGATAGATTTTTTTTTACGTATTTACTTATTTACGTAAAGCTCCAGCTGCTGGAAGCATCTAAGAAAAACATAGCTTTAGTTTCTATATTTGCAAACCAAAATAAAAATATGCAAAGTCAATGGGTTCCAAAGTATCAAAAAGGAAAAAAAAACCCTCTAAACCCTCTTGTTTTTAAACTCATCATCTTCATACTACTCACATTATTATATAAAGTCCAGAACATGCTTAGCAGGTAATGCTAAGCAATCTCTGAAATGCCCAGTCATTGTGTAGCCCACATTATTTGCTTTTTAACAGAACAGTTACACAATCATTCTCTACTACTTTGCACCTTGCAAAAAGTGAGTGCAAAATGAAATGCTAGTTCCGATTCAAGTGGAAATTTAGTTAGTTGTATTTCCACAGTACTATAAAGGAAGATGAATTATGGTGGGGGCATAATAGCAGAGAATCAGGTCTTCTGTTATTAAAATATTTAAGGAACTTAATTTAAGTTTGAAGTCAGACTTGTAATTAGTAATATAAAATAAGATTTTGGTCAAGTCACTCTTCCTTGAAAGAACCAAGAAATACACTTAGAGGATACTTCAAAACTTTTCTTCGTTTCAGTATTTTATGAAAGAGTTACATTTACTGCAGTTGACTTAGGAAATTATTTTTTAACAGTCAGAGTAACCTGAATAAGTAAATACTTCCATACATTAAAAGAGCACATATCACTCGCCACTTTTCATTGAAAACTGTCATTTTAAAATTTTCATCTGAATAGTTCAAAGCAGATAATACATATTCAACGTGGATATCACACGGAATTTGTGAAAGATGCTAATGAGTGTTTCTGAAATTTGAAGTGACGATTCCATTTATAAATTCTAGTTTTCCTACAGAGCCGATAGCTTGTTGAATTTATGCTCCCCCCCGATATGCTTTGTCAACTTAACTGTTTAAAAATACCACCACTCAACTATCATAAACAGGAAATAATCAGATTAATATGTTTATCTGACAGAATCATCTGTTCTTATCCAAACAAAATAAGTAAAGCACACAGACTAACTTAGGTGTTCTAACATCTCTTATGCAACAGATAACACAGAATAAAGGATTTTTTTTTACCCTTCTAATGTTACATTCCTTATAGGAACAGATGTCATATATAACTGGATTTCCTGCTAAATATGTAGACAAATAAAAAAAAATCATGTGTGCAGTTGGTTTTCAATGGAAAAGATTTAAAACAAATGAACTATTTCAGTATGCTGTTTGGGTATACAATGATAAGATTTAACTGCAGAATTCAGAAAGAAGAGCAAATAGTACATACCAATAAAGAAATGCATATGTATACATATTCACACATGTACACACCTACAGTTTATATACCTACATATTCATAAGAGGGAGGAAGGTCCTCTTCTCTTTCAGAATCTCCTGACCTTTATTTATAAAACTTCATTTTAAACACTGTAGACTTTAATTTCTCTGCTTTCCGCGCTAACCTTGCGGAGTGCTGAAAGCATCATTATTTATTATGAACTGACAACATGCAGCAGTCTCACAGCCCAAACCCTTTCAGCCCTGTGCACGATGTTTGATATCACTGATATCACATCATTCATAAATCAAATGCATAATGCAGCGTGGGCCTCGCTAAAAAATGAACCATCTAGCAGTAACTGCGCTAACAACGCGAGCAACCATAAACTTAACTTTACACACCTTTGAAGCGAAACAGGCACTAAATCTTCCCTGCGAGTGTGATCATTTCTCACTTGCAAAACCAAGAGCCTGTCACATAACTCTTTTAATGTAAACACCAACACCTTTGCATATACACACATAGAGCAACACACATGCACGCAAAGCCAGATGTTTACATAAGGATAAAAATTAATAAAGACCAAGAGCGTTTTCCCCCGTGGAGGACGAGACTGCTCTCACTTACATCCCTGTGGCTTCAGTGAGTGTGCAAGAAGAGTGCTGGTCTTTGCACGGATGCAGCATGCACACAGGTGCCCATGCCCACACTGTAAAACTGATCTGTGGAATGAGGACTTCACAGCATTTCATAAAAGTCGCCTAAAAAGGTATGTATGGTACAAGAGTAAAAAAGCCACAGACCAAACTGAAAATACAGAGAAACTGAAAAACATCAGTATGACTCAAAGCAAAGTTTCTTTCCAAGGGCTGTATCTACATGTCTATCGCTCCAAACGCCGTATTGTTGCTCTGCTAAATAACCCTGCTTAAAATGTGCTAGAAATCATTACTGACGACTAATGCAAATTGGATGCATAAGTTTATTTCCTTGAAAAAAAAAAAAGAGAGAAATCTCAGAAATGCACAGCATTCAGCTATATTTCATTACCCTGCTCTTTTGCAGCCTGGAATTAAACCCTTCTGAGCTATGCAAACCCTTAATACAAAGAAATGTTTTTTTTTTTTTAAAAAAAAAAAAAGGCTGGAAAGGAATGAGGGAGTAGTAGTGGTAACATACAGTACCATGAGCTGCTTTGGCCTCCCAGTCAGTGGTGTACAGTTAACAGATCACTCCTGGCCTTCAGCAGACAGAGGGAAAAAAAAAAAAAAAAGGAAAAAAGTAGAGCACTGTGTAAAACTGTACTACTTGGCTGGAAAGCATGTATATGCTCACCAGTTAAAAAAAAACAACTTACTTTTGTTAGTGTGAAATAAAAGAATGGAAGAGCTCAGGCTCAAGCAATTAGAGAAACCATGAGCTGTATTATACTGCGCTATTGTAGCAAAGGAACACAAGTGGAGACGCTGTACAATTAAAATGAGAGAATATGGACACCATCAAAACAGAACTATTCAATAAGGTTAAAACATTGATTCATTCTTTAGAAAACAGATTGCAGAGCTTCTCTTTGGATAAGTATTTCGGGTTCTGACCACTTATATTCAGTACTCTTGGAGATCAAAAAAATAAACAAGAACTTAGCAATTTCCCACTGCAACCATACCAATGTGAATTTGAGGGCAAAATCCTGCCAAAACCACTATTTTTTTTCTATCTATCTGCTGAAGGAAACAAAGGTTTTCTACCATTCACTGTATAAAGACCTGCAGCAAGAACAATACTGCTGGTTAATGTTCTGCTTAGAATATATTTTTAAGAATCTTTGAAGTGAGCCCTCTTTTACCATGAAATGAATTTCTCTTTTTCTTTTTTCTTTTTATTTTTTTTTTTTCGGAGTGGAATATATAGGCTATTGTTACTTCTGAACCCTCTCTGGTTTCAACCTAAAGATCTCTCCTCCACCTATGGCCATTTCCCCCTGCTCCACTGCCACTTCCAAAAAAGAAAAAAAAAATCCCTCTTCCATTTGCCTGTGGTAATTAGGTTATGATTACTGACAGAACAGTTTGCTTAGGGGACTAGTTACCAAAGCTACCAGCACTTTGGTATTCTAGTGGCATTTTATTTTTTTTCTGTAATTAAAGAAAAGGGGAAGAAAAGGCAGAAGTATTTCCTTGATGATTACCAAGAATGCTGATGGGAAAAAGAAAGCACTAAGTGTCTCATTTGCCCTCTCTTAACCCTTTCGTGCTAAGGCAGGCGCACCATGAGCAGAAACAGGAAGGTGCAGCACGGCAGAAACATGCGCAGGAAAAACTCACCGGGTGGGCATTTGGGTTTTTGGAAGTGCTATCACAGGACCTTGAGGTCTGGGTTTACTTACTGTATTTTGTCTAGAATGGCAGGCACCACCACCAACTCCAGGGACAACAGTTTTGGTGCTCTCTGCCCTTCTTCACAGCTGAGTTTTAATTCTTCCGTAGCTGAAGTATGTTTTCTGCAAGCTGGACAGTGTGCACTAAAGAAACAGGTAAGGAGATGTTTTCAAAACACTGGAAATGTATCTCAAACTAGAACTTGTTTGAGAAAGAAAACTGATGTAGACTGTCCTGATGCCCTTGCTCTGTTCCTCATGCAGGTCATTACAGATGTGTGTAAACCAAATTAGGAGGTAAAAGCATTCCTAGTTCTGCAGAATACAATACTGATTGTAACTCATGAGAGTTGACTAGCACTCCCTTGTGACTGATTATTGTGTTATCATTATTACCGACATGCCATTGTGGTTCCACAGATGCTGTACAGAGAGACACAAGCCGATAGGTCCCTCTGCCCAAGGAGTTTACAAAGTGAATGAGACATTAACAGATGAACAACAAATTTAGGGTGCAAACAGGAGAGGAGGAGGAGGAGGTTGCCACATTTGAAAGCACATGATATGCTTTTGTTAGATAGCATCACGTCCTTTCCTGCATCTTAACATCTGGAATCATATCTCCAAATGCAATTACCCAGAGGTCAGGGAAACAAGCGCAGGTTAGAAAGATATGCCTTCAAAATGTAACAACATACAAATGCTATATTTCAAAATGCACAACAGATGAAGAGATCTGTTGAGGAAGAATGCCTTGTGTCATCTACATTGAAAATAACTGTGCTTTTTCTACTGAGAATCATGTTTCTGGAATGCAAGAGAAAGTAGTGGTTCTTGCCACCACTGATTTGAGCAAGTTTAGAAGCAGGACAACATGCCTCTGGACTCCAAGTCTGTGTGACTTTTGCATATGTTTTCAGGAAATTCAAGCCTGATCCTCTGTTTTCTAGAACAACAAAGAGGTGGTGAATGCCAAGGCAGCCACAATGAGAAGTGGTAAGTATCACATACTCAGAGAAAGAAATCCAATATTGGACAAATACAGGCGAGCCTGTCCTCAGAACAGACTTTTTGTAATCTTCATCTAGTTACAATTTAGTTTATGGTGTGACGTGAAAATGTTGATAATTTGAAGAGGAAAGCCAGTGTTTTCCACTTGATGTTCCCGTGTCCCAGAATTTCCTTCTGGTTATAGCAAATAATCTTGACTTTTCATTTATATTACAATTGTTACTTGTGTTGGGCGTTAGGGAAGGAAAAGGAGTGTTTCCTTACAAATATAAAGCTTTTTTCAAGACACTTGGCTATACAGAGTCAAGTTTACTTTATGTTTACTATGAATATGTAGTACAGTGGTGTAAACTTTCAGCATCAAGAATTTCATTTGGAGCAAAGGGGAAAGTCAAATAAGCATATATGCAGTCAAAGCTGTTCTCTTGCTGAAGGCAAACAAGACTTAAATGTAGTCTATGGATGATAATGTAATCATCTGGAACACAAAGTTCTCAGAAACTATTTCTATTCTGAAAAATCTGATCTTGCTGCTACGAAAACATAGTTTTACTTTTAGAGGTGTACTCTTACATTTCAGGAAATTTTCAGCATCTAAATTTGCAGTATTCTTAGCATCTAAATACTCAAACTCAAGATCTATAAGAATACAGGCATCTTTTTAATGTGCCTGTTGTTAAGCCTATGTAGGATAAATGTGAATATATACTTATGCATGAACTTACATAAAAGACTGCAGAGTTTAAAAATGAACCTACATCTGCAACCTCAAATATATATGTACGGCTCGGTCTTCAAGTGCTGGATGTGACCTGTCTGTCCTTTTACTTACTTTTTTTCATTTAATAGGCTTTTTTTCTCACCATTTCTTCTGAGGAGGAGTTAATAGAAGTTTTCTATTTACTGTACTTTACGCAGTCTGTTATTTTTTTCTCATAACAGTTTTCTCAACAAACTGAAGATCACCAATTTCACTTTCATCAAAATCATAGCATGGACCACCACAGCATGCAGTTTAGCTGTCAAACAGCATGAGGACTACACATAAAGAAGGGTTCTGTGAGGTCTTCCAGGGCTACAGGGCTCAAGAATATATCCCGACTAAGTGACATTGGTCCCTTTTGGTCTATCAGAACAAAGACCTTTGTTTAGTACCATCCCCACTGCAAGAAAAAAAAAGGAAATGAACATCCAGCACAACCTGGGGGTTCCTTAGGGTTGCTAAGATCATCTGCCACCTTGGAGGTCTGGTTATACTCTCCAACCTTCAGTTCAGACGGACACTCTTACGGACTGCCTGTGACACAGCTCATCAGTGCCAGCATTAGTTTTCTTTGCCATCTTAACATTGGACCATCTTCCAGTGTCCTCCTAGGATCAAGGTGCCTAAAAACCACTATCCTAAAAAGGCAAATTTTGATGCTTCAGAAATACTAAATGAGATAGATACAACATCTATCATATTTTTTAGGTTCTTAGAATTTTTGAAGAGTTAAAATTTACATGATGCAGGAAAGGAAGAGAAGGGAAATCCTTGGTTGTTCATTGTTCTACTCATTTCTGACAGCTGACGAAGTGCCCATGTGGGAAAGATGAAAGATACCTAATCAAGCTCAGCTTCGTAGGAAAACTATCAGTGGTACCCATTGGGTAGACACCTCCCCAGCATACCAAGTGGTCTTACCGCTTCCTAGCTATATCACTGAATGCTTGGTTCAGTCTGTTTTTATAATTTTCAATCCTAAACTCATTCAATCGGAAAGAAAATATTCTCAAATTCTACTGAGCTCTCCAAGCTTTGGTCAGGAACAGTGGCCTCACATGCTACAAGCTACTTTTTGTTTAGGCTAATCAATCAATCCTAGAACATTAGAATGGATGAAGGTAGCAAGCAAGTTCAAAAGTCTAGAGATTTCTGTGCTCTGTTAACCTCTAATTTGCTGACATAGGAGAAAGGAGATAGCGGAATAGTAGAAATCAAAACATGTTGGAAAACAGCAATGCAGAAAAATACTCCCTGGCAACTATTTTTCTGAAGGAGAAGAGGCAGAGTATTAGGGGTCTGGCACAAAACCAGAGAGGCTAAGACAGTGGTCTGAAGATGGAGAATGGACTATTTTGAACTGAAAAACCACAGAAGAATCAATATTAGGTAGTATCTTCGAGCAGTGTAAATAATAATAATTCCTTGATGGAAGCTGGATATTTAGCACCAGGAAAAGACCACATGGAAGTTGTAAGAGAATTAACATCTGGGGGCTTGTCTAACTCTTCCTCCAAAAAAATAAAGATCCTTTCCTATGCAGGACTTGGAATCAATGCAGGGGCTAGTGCCAGAGGAGACAGCTGCAAAGCCTTGAGAAGAAGGCGAGTGAGGGAATTCAGATCTTCAGTTAAAGTTTTCTGGCTGCTTGTTCAGGTTCTTGTATCTCTGGAGAAGTAAATGAAATGACAGTCATCCACTGAGTTCACAGGGCAAAGGAAAAGATCTCTTGGACACTGAGGTGCCGAGGTTAGCGCAATCCTTCTGTTCCTCCTCCTCAGAGGAGCTGGAATGAGCTGCCTATGCGGCTGCCAAGGGCTGGCTCTCGGTGCCTCCGTACCACCATCTGCATGGAAGCCTTCCCAAGGGGCTGAATACAGACTTTTTCCCAGGCAGAACCAATGGAAACATTTGCACCTTCATGCTAAAGCATCATTCTAGGAAAAACTCAATTTCTTGATGTGGTGGCAAACAGCTCCCTACACCGGGTAGGTAAATTGAGTACAGAATGAATGACCACTATATTTACTCTGCTTTTTCCATCAACTATATCTTGGCTCACACACAGAGATCCAT